CTCTCTTGCCCTGTGGCTTCTATTGGGCATGGCCAGGATAAGGCTCTGTACAAAGAAATGTTTCCATCTGCCCACCTGGGAGGCCTCAGCCAGCACTTCAGCCTCTGGGCTCTGAAGTTGAAGGTGCCATTGCTGGCATCGGTGGGGAGCCCAGGGTTGCAGTACAGGTGAACTCCCTAATTCTACCTGGGGTTGGGTGCGGCAGGGCTATTCTCCCTCCCAGGCCACTGGCATTCCTCAGGTCATCCTTTTGTGCAGTGATTTATGCTTCTGGGCAGCAGGGCTGTACAGGGCACCTGGCCCGACTTGGTTTGAGAACCTGGTTGGGGTCCTGGATTCTGGGGTCCTGGCCCAGGTCTGCAGCCCTAAGCTAGACCTGGTCCCCGTGAGAAGCTAACAGCCTGGTTACCCAGAACAAGACAGGGACGTCAAAAACTGGGCAAGGCAAGTACCTGGCCAGGGTAATAAGACAGACCCAGAGGCCAGAGGCACTCAGGAGGGGCAGGCTTCTGGCCTGCGGAGTCAAGGAGGGCTTTTCGGTGGGCAGGCCTGAGCAATCCTTCCATCGCTAGTGCCCAGATTCCTGCAGTCGCCCAGGAAAACGGGGCCCACCCTCTCCCAGTCTCTGCCCAGCCTGGGCTTTCAGCCACCTGCATGCATCTGCATCTTGAGTTATATTTGGTTTAACTTGCAGCTCAGGACTTCGGGGTGAAAGGCGGGGATGTATGCAAATGAGCAAACAGATTTATGCAAAAACAGTGTCAGGCTTGTGCCCTCAGATTTCCTGGAGGCAAAAATAATGGCGTTCCCATCTCCCTGCCACACTGGGTGACCAGCCCTTGCTTGGGTGTATAGTGATCTGACTCTGGCTGGTAATTAGCCCATATTTTTATTTCATGGGCAATTCTCAATGGTAACTGGGTCTATTAAACTTGATCCAGACGTGACAGCTTAAATTGTAAACAGCTGTGAAGAGTTTCATACTTAATTACCATATTTAAGTTTTGCCATAAAGCGCCCGAACTTCCATCAAAAATGTAAATGACAGAGACATTCAAATGAGATTTTATACTTCGTGAAATTTAATTGGCATGGATCAGTCAGCTTGTTTAGGGATTTTAAATTTTAAAAAATTTTAAAGGCAGTAGCCACAGATTCATTTCTCAATTAAATTGAGTTGTCTGGCGGAGGCGAAGGGAGTGGGGCCGAGGCGGGTTAGGCCTGAACTTGTCGTACACTTGAAAGAGTCTGGCAGCTTTCTTCCCCAGGCCGAGCTTGCAGAGGAGGCTACATGTCGCTTCCGGCTACAGTTGCGAGCTCTGGGACTTCCACTCCCAGAAGCTGAGCTGATTAACCCTGAACTGGAATCAGAGAGGAAAGGCCTGAGTTGAAGGTGGGCTAAGGGTAGGTCCTGGCTGGAGTGTAAGGCCTCAGGAGACCTACCCCCCGGGAAAATGCAATTCAGCCACCATCCTAGACACCCCTGGAGGGCTCTGGGAATCAGGGGTATTCAGAGTCGATGCTTGCCTTCAGGGAGCACCCAGGTGGGGTGACACAGGCAGGTGAGCTGGTGACACTTTCGTATGCGTGACACCAGAGAGAGGTAGGCAGGGCTGTGGAAGCCCAGTGCCTGTGACGCGACATGACGTGACGTGAGAGAGGTGGTGACATTTGAGTTGGGTTTGAAGGAGTAGATGGGAGGGACAAGGTGTGGCCCTTCTTTACAGGTGGGTTATGGCACTAGATGGTTTTAGTCTTCTGCCCTGGGCCCTCATTGACATATTGCTCCTGCCAGGAAATATAGAAGCCTCCTACTACCTTTCTGGCATTCAGTTATAAGCTCCTCTGACCCAGCATAGTAGTAACCAGAGTCTAACCTTTGCCTCTCCAGCTGTGGCTCATTCAGGCAGTGGCGGGGCCCTTTCCAGCTCTGGCTTTTCTGTTCTCTCATTTTAAGGACTAAGTTACTGTGTGCAGCCCTCAGGTAATTAGGGAGGACTTCTCGGAGGAAATAAGCCTCACAGTTAATTGCATTTAGGGGAACTCAAAGGCGAAGGAAAAAAGTAGAGGTGAATATCCATTGCCAAGGTGGGGATTGGAGTACCCGTGGCAATCTTGGCTGGGCTCCAGGTAGTGAAGATGGGGCCCAGCTGCCTGGGGAAGGTGTGGCCTCATTACATCGGCTGTGGTGATGTGGGAGGGGCCAGGACTCTGCCTCCACCAATCAGGCATTCCAGCGCCTGGGACAGCCAGGGTGGGCCTGGCCTAGAGTCCCTGGGCGTCCCCTTGAGACTTGCATTTACCTGCCTAACACTGTACCCCTCCCCCGACCCCACTTCCTGTTTTTCAGGCCCAGGCTGTCACCCTCACAGTAGCCCAGGCCTTCAAAGTCGCCTTTGAGTTTTGGCAGGTATCCAAGGAAGGTGAGTCTTGTTTGTGGACGTGGTGGGTGGGGTGTACAGGGGCGTTGAAGAAAACCAGCAGAGCAGTAGGGGCGGGGAGGATGGTAAAGGCTCTGGAGTCAGGCCTGGACTGATCGTCAGCTTCATCGCCTTGCACGGGCCCCTTCACCTCCGAGTCTCAGTTTCCCCACCTGAAGAATTGGGAGCAGTTGTCTCCCTCCCCCAGGGTCCTTGTGAGGATTAAGTGAAATATGCAAAGTTTCTTTTCTCCATTCTGGAGACCTAACACCTGCCCCCTGAGATCGGCCACAGCCTACCCCTGCCCAGTGATGGCTAGGGATGGAGTGCTGGGGTCGGGGGCTTCAACGCGCTGTGCCTTGGTCCCACAGAGAAGGAGAAGAGGGAGAAAACCAGCCAAGATGGAGGGGACACCCTGGGGGGGGGCCGCCGAGACAGCACTGCTTCGCTGAAGAGCCGTGAGTCGTGGGCGGGGGAGGGGCTGCATGGCATGGGACCCTTCATCCAGAGGGCCCCCCTCCCTCCTGGGCTGGGGTAAACTCCTGGGTTTTTATCTTTGTTTTGTTGTTAAATAAACAATGCTTGTTTATTATAGAGAAATAAGCAAATGCACTTAAAGGGGAAAAATTACTTGTTTTGGTGCATGTTCCTCCAGATATGTCCCTATACAGATATATAAATCTGTGTATACATCTCTCCCTATACCCTTTACATCTTGTTGTGTGATCTCTTAAAAAACTTAATACCTGTTGTGAATATGGGTTTCAGCCTAAACCATGAGTGGGAGAGAGCTTCCCACCCTGTGGGCAGCTGTCCAGCTGCTTTGGGAGGTGCAAGGGTGGGGCTCTGGGTGGTCTGGGTGATAGGCCTGGAAAGGCCATGCCCAAGGAGGGAGTCGGGACCAGGGTAGCCCAGGAGGCTCCAGGATGGGGCCAAGAGGTGGGGCTGGGAGACAGGAACCTCCTCTCCTCCTGATGCACCTGACCCCTCATAGTGGTCACCACTGGGAACCTGCTAGACCTGGAAGAGACAGCCAAGGCCCCGCTGTCCACGGTCAGCGCTAACACCACTAACGTGGACGAGGCACTGCGACCTCAAGCCTTAAACAGCAGCAGCGTTGTCTGGGTGAGTGGTCGTGTGGCCTGGGGACCCCCCAGGATCCAGTGAGCCTTGGCCTGATCCCTGGATGAGGCCTAAGGCAGCTCCAGGGTGCAGACCCTGGCGCCCGTGACTTGCAGGCCTCCAGGAGGGCCTGACCCAGCCCAGCAGCCAGACCCAGGGTCGGGGATGAACAATGTCCCCTTTGAACCTAGGGCTGCGTCCCCAACAGGCTTGGCTCCCGGCACAGCTGTCTCCTCACAATGCCTGGCCTCTTGGCCTGAGCATCCATGGCTCTGCCCACTGCAGGACCAACCAAAGGCCCCCTTGTTCTCGGCACGGGCACTTCGCTCCTGAAGCCTCTCCCCCTCGGCCCCCTGAACGAGGAGCCTGAGACTCAGGCAGGCAGCCTGGCCCTTGACTCACTCTGGGACCCGGGGCAAGCACTCTGACCTCTCTCTGTCTCAGCTTTTTCACTTCTTCAGTGATGATGATGACCTCTGCCTGCAGAATCTCCCAGAGGAACATAATTTTTTTATTTAAAAAATTAGAAATTTTTTTCATTTGGAAATAATTTCAGACTGATAAAAAAAATTACAGAAATGGTACAAAGAATTCCTGTTGCTCTTCATACAGATTCCTCAATTGTTAACATCTTACATAACCACGTTACAAAGATCAAAATTGTTAACATTTATGCAACACTTATATAACCTACAGACCTGATTCACATTTCTCCACTTGACCCTCCAATGTCCTTTTTCTAGTCCAGGATCTATTGCAGAATGACATGTTACTTTACTTGTCATGTCTCTCTTTTTTTTTTTTTACGTTTTTGCAAAATCTTTATTTTATCTGTATTAGAGTATAATTGCTTTACACTGTTGTTTTAGTTTCTGCTGTACAACAAAGTGAATCAGCCACATGTATACATATATCCCCATATCCCCTCCCTCTTGAGCCTCCCTCCCACCCTCCCTATCCCACCGCTCTAGGTTGTCACAAAGCATCAGGCTGATCTCCCTGAGCTATGCACGTCTCTTTAATTTTGAAACTCTGGGACATTGATGGACTTGAAAACCTATCAAATCCCATTGCCTGTTGGGGGCCACCCAGTGTCCCCCAGGCAGGCACTGTGAGCCTGTTCTCTGCAGTCTGGGAACCAGCCTGGCCACCTGCCCGTCCTCCCGGAGGCTGTGGAGGGAGCCTTGCCCATTGTTTTCCCACCTAGGCTGGGGGATTCCTGCCATCAGCTATCCCTTGTGAGCTTAGAATTTGGGCTCAGCTTCTGAAAGTGGGTGAAAGCAAGAAAACCTTCTTCCCATCCTGCCTCTTGGAATTTGAAAGCTGTAGAGGTCGTCCAGTCCAACCCCCTCATTTTGTGGAAGGAAAAGCTGAGTCTCAAAGAGGAGCAGCAACTTGCCTAAGGTGTTGCTGAGTCGTGGCAGAGCTGGGAATTGAACCCCCAGGTCTTTAGGCACCTAGGTGCCCTTTCTCCTGTCCCACATCCCAGGTTTGGGTCCCTGTGCTGAGATGCTGGCGGCAGTAGCCAGGTGGAAGGCCTGCCTGTGCCTGTTCCTCTAGGCACCCACCAGACTTCCTACGCTTGTGTGCCACGTCCCTATAGCTTACCCAGGGCTGGGACAAGCCCCATCTGTGAGCACGGGCTCCCCCTCTGAGGGTTCTTATCTCCTGCTTTGTTTTCCCCAAGGAGCTGGATGATGGCCTGGATGAAGCATTTTCAAGGTAACGTTAGGTGGGCTCCTGGTGCTGGGGGAGGAGGCCTGGCACTTGGGGGTTGGTCTCCAGGGCCCTTTGCCATGTCTGAGAATATGAACTCTGACCTTCCCCAGAGCAAAAAATCTCAACTCAGGTACCTCCAGGGGTGGGGAGCTCACTATCTGGCTATAGGTCTGCCAGAAAGTTCTTGTTGTTGAATCAAAAGCTATTCCTTGTGACCGCTCTACCACAGGTTGAGCTGAACTGAACACACTACAGCTCAGGTTGGCTTCCTCTTCCTACACCTGGTGTAGCCTTCAAAAATGGGCTTTTTTGCAGGCTTTGTTCCTTCCAGAGGTTTTGCGTTTATGGAAAGGGGCAGGGAGAAGGCAGTGTTTTTTTGTTTTGTTTCGTTTTTTGCGGTACGCGGGCCTCTCACTGTTGTGGCCTCTCCCGTTGCGGAGCACAGCCTCCGGACGCGCAGGCTCAGCGGCCATGGCTCACGGGCCCAGCCGCTCCGCGGCATGTGGGATCTTCCCAGACCGGGGCACGAACCCGTGTCCCCTGCATCGGCAGGCGGACTCTCAACCACTGTGCCACCAGGGAAGCCCAAAGGCAGTGTTTAATTAATGGAGCATTACGTAGAGGAGGGATGTGAGTCCCATTAGGAGATATTTGGTCTAACCAGAGGCTGGTGGCATTTCCCCTTTTCCCAGGGGCCACATCTCTGTCCATGGCTGCCTTCAGCTTGGGGACACGCCACCAAGAAGCCTGGCTGAGGAGAGGCCCTGGTCAGCCAGGCCTTCCTTTCTCCCTTGAGACCCTCAGCAGCCCCCTACAGCCCTCCCCCGCTTCCCCATCCCCTTCCTGCCAGAGCCAATGGAAACCTCTCGATGCAGCCCAGGTCGGGGGAGTGGCGTGTGTGGCCCCTTCATGATTCTTTTTACCATCTTCCCAGCTTCTCTGGCTGACTACAACCCCCTTGTTTGAAGGAAATCTTTCGTTCACTTTTTCCAGATTACTAAAGTGTCTTGTGCCCTTAATGAACAACTTGGAAAATCAGCAAAGCGTTAAACAGGAAATAACACCAACCCATAATCCCACAGCCCTGACTTTGGGGCTTAATTCACGCTAATCCTATACATATACATTTTTTTGCATTGATCAGCTTGTCATATTTGCATTTGGGGATCCTGATTTTCACTTACTGCTGGTGTATCAGGAGCATTTCTCCAGGCTGCTAAAAACTCCTTGTAAACACCTCATTCACTGACTGCCTCATGTTCTTTTAAGGACATGGGCCGTAATTTATTTAACTCTCCCTATTCTTGGTACGTTCAGTTGTGCCCCTTTTTGAATTTACTTTGTTGAACATAGTTAAAGCCAGTGGTCTTCCATGGTTGTCCCAGGCTCTCTCCCACGCATGCCCCTCTCTGCGCTGGCAGCGCTGCCCTTTCTCCTCTTTCCTGGCATTTCCTGATGGAGCTGTGGACGGTGTGGGTGCCCCAGCCTCTCCGTGGTGGGAACGCCACTGCCTGCCCCACAGTTTTCTGAGCCCCTTGACCCTCAAGGGTAGGCTCTCTGGTTAGAGGCTCCACCTCTACTGACATCCAGGTCTTGCTTCTTCGGCCATGTGTCCTGCCGTTTTCCCACCCACATCCTCTCACTTCTGACCCTGGTGCTGGCCAGGCTGGACCAGCTCCTCGGGGCCCCGCCAGCCCCTTGCCTGGGCCCCCGGCTCACACAGCTCTGCCTTCCAGGCTTGCCCAATCTCGGACGAACCCTCAGGTCCTGGACACTGGACTGACAGCACAGGACATTCATTATGCCCAGTGCCTCTCGCCTGTCGACTGGGACAAGCCTGACAGCAGTGGCGCTGAGCCGGACGACGTCTTCAAGTTCTGAGGCCTGGGGCTGGCAGGACACGTGACAAACCAAAGCCACCCACGTCGGGGGCGGGAGCCAGCTCCAGGACCCCCAGCCAGTGTCCTTCAGTCGGCAGCGCTGTCAGTCTGCAGATCAGAGCTGCAGCCAGTCAAGCAGAGGGAAGGAGAAATTCCTTTTTAACCCCATTCTTTCTCTAAGAACTGAAAGATGCCTTGAATATTTATTCAGTGACTCCTGGTTCAACTCAGAAGCTGGTTTTGCATCAGGCACGAGCGCAGTGTTATAACCAGCTTTCTGCCCTCTCTTGAGCGAGCTCTGCTCCACTGTGGGTGTCAGGATGGTGGCCGAAGCATTTCTTGTCCCTTCTCTTCAAGGGCCCAGATTTCCCTGGAGGTGCCCTTGCTCCTTACTGAAAGTAGTCGGATCGTTCATTTCTGTCATCCTTTGAGCACAGGAGGGCAACACAGCCGCGGGAGGAGACTGTGACATCCAGCCCACCTTCCGTGGGGGGCCCAGCGGGCCGGGGCTCGGGCTCCTGGCCCTGGGGGCTCTCAGAGACAGAGGGGCAGCCCCTGACCAAAGACAACACGTGGCAGGCACTTTAAAGCACACACAGCAGGTGTGGCCCGCAGCTCCTCGATGGTGCTTCGTTGCGTAGAGCTTTCTTTCTGCCCTTCCGAGAGACGAGGCCCAAAGTCCCCATCAGTGCTTGGAACCGGTGTAACTGGCTGCCCTGGACTCCCAGAGTCTGCCTGCGGCCGTGGGGTCATCTGTGTGACCGCCTCCTGCAGAGCTCCCATCCTGCCCTTCCCCCTCCATGTGGATGAAGTTTTCCCGCGCTGCTATTTGGTCTGAGCCCCACCTCCCCATACTTCCTGAGATAGTGCGTGAAACCTAACACCTAGATTTGTTTGCGAATGTTTGGTTGCCAGTTTCTAGATGAGGAAACTGAGACCACACGCGTGGAAGGGGTAGAGTCAAGAGTAGAACCCAGATCTGGTGCCAAAGCTGCCTTCTCACCCACACCTCTCACAACTCACACCTCCTTTTTTCTAGCTTTGTTGTCCTCCCAGGAACCAAAAAGCCCCAGCTATTTTCTGACCAAAATGTGTTTCATAACAAACCATCTGGTGCCTTTACTCACATAACTGGCATGAGCCTGTGTGCCCTGCTAGCTGTCTCGCTGTTGATTACTGTGAAAATGGAAGCGTTTGAAGTCTGCTAATTCAGAGGGTGAAACAGAACCAAACTTCATAAGCATCATGCTGTTCCTTCCTGATGCTCCGACCCCAGGTCGGGGACATACCAGCAGCAGCCTGTCTTCAGAGTCTCCCTGCCTCCCCTTTCACCCCCATGGGGCTCCCAGCAAAGCTGCCAGCACATTCTTCATCCTCAGGTGCCTCCCAGGCCTGGCTTTACCAAGCTTAAGTCTGGTGACAGTTGGAGCAGGTTTCACCAGCCCAGGAAACACACCGTTTCTTAGAATCTACGTATCTAACTGAGCATCTGAATCAAAACACAGAGACAGGAGTGCCTGGGTGAGAGGTGGGGTGGGATTGCCTTTATCAAAATGTGAGGATAACTTCCTTTCCCTGGCCCAGCTCCTGCACCCCCGCTGCCCACCCCAGATCTCCTTGGTATCAGCACCTGTATTTGTCGTGAGGCAGCAGGGCTTGGGCCTTACACGGGCCACCCTTGGCACGAGGGTCCAGGAGACCTGAGAAAGGCTGTGCTGTGTTTGTGTGAGTCTCCATGGGGCCTTCATCTCGTCTCTGGCCAACAGTGGTCAGTGTGCTCCCCTTGTGTCTACAGATAAGTTTTGTTGTGCTTTACTTTGTGTTGCTTGTGTTGCAAAGGAAGTTCTAATGAGGAAAAAAATAAGTAATAAATGTTCTGATTTTGAAATACAAAGAGCACTTGCATGGAGTGTCGTGGTGGCCACGTAGGAGCGTGGCCTTGGGCAGCCCCTGCCCTGGGTGGTTGGAGCAGTGGTGGCCACAGACACAGGGGCTAATGGTCTGTGATCCCCTAGATGAAGCCCGAGGGCCCCCTTTCCACCAGGCAGATGGGTTGTGTGATGAGGTCATCTCTGGATAGCTTAGTGAGCTCAGCACTGGAGAGGCCTCTGAAAACCTAGGTCAAGGCCTCCTAACCAAGGTGTGTGACCCCTTGAAATGTACATTATGCGTGTGGCTACACATACATTTTTCTTGGGGATGGTGTCTCTCATTTCCATCACGTTCTCAAGTGAGTCCATGATGTTTATTCATTTGACAGACTTTGTGCTAAACACAAACCAGGCCTGGAATTCAGTGCTGGGGACAGCAATCCAGACACCCTCCCTGTCCATGTGGACTCAGAACGTGTGGCTTGGGTGTGATTGGGGGCTAGGGTGGGGGATGAAGGGAAGTGTGTTTTCGTGACTTGGGAGACCCAAGGTCTAGCTCTGGCTCTGCCACCTGGGGCTGTGACACTGGATCAGTCACTTCTTGCCTTGAGCCTCAGTTTCCCCATCTGGGAAAAGGGTACAACAATCACCACCCTTTCTGCCTCCCTGGGTTTTGTGAGATTCGGGTGACCATTATTATATTGTTGGTGATGTACTTAGATGGCTCAAAGCTTAGCTCAGAGCAAAAGGCAATTTGGACCAAATACCCTTAAGGAAGTCAAAGTAAAATTGATAATAACGGGGGCTACTGTTAACTGAGCTCTTCGTCTGTGCCCAGGGCCGTGCCAGGCTCTCAACTCTAGCTCATCGCGGCGTTTCTGTTGAGCCCCGTGGTGCTAGCTCCCTTTCCTGCTGCAGGCACCGAGGCTGCAGGCACTGCTGCCAGGGCTTGACAGACCACAGCCCAGACTCTGATCTCTGTGGCCCTTGACTCTGCCACGTCCTGATCCCCCGGGAGCCACGTCTGCAGTCACGCTGCCTGTGGCCTCCTGTAGAGCTGCGCAGAAAGGCCGCTCTCTTCAAGCTCCAGTGGGGGTCTTCTCGGACATTTATCTCTTTGTCCCTTTCAAATAGTGATCATAAAAATATCCGGAACCCAGGGGCGGAGACCTCCGATATCAGCCGTCGGGCAGACTGGCTGTGAATTCTGAGTGGATGGTAGATGACTAAGAAATTCTCTCCTTTCCTCTTCTCCCATAATCTGAGAAGACACTCAACAAGTCCGTCTTTCGGTTTAAATTTGGCCAATGCCTTTAGTCTCCGGATGTCTCAAATTATGAATCCTGAGCACTCGCCATCTGCTCTTTCATGCATAACGGATGAAGCTGCAGGGAACAAAGTCGCCTTTCAGATTTGATGTGACCTTCAGCATCACTGGGTGGATGTTGGGCTCTCCTCTCCCAGGGGGAGAGCCCATCCCAATTAAATCTCTCCAAGGACTTTCTGACAAGCCCGGAGAGTGAATCTGGGCGAATTCTGGGCCCTCGGTGCTTGTCTGGCGTCTGTTCTTCACCTGGCACGGAGAACAGAGGTGGCCTCTCTGTTATCAGGGGGTGAGCTTTTCCCCAGGGCGTACATGCCAGGCCCTGTTAGTCCTTTACGCCTAACATCAGAGATACTAGTCTAACCACCATGCCAGGAGGTGGGTGGTCCTAGTACCATTTTCAAGATGGGACAATTGAGGGTCAAGGAGGATAAGTGAATTGACCGAAATCTCACAGCCAGTAAGGAATGGACCTTGGATTTGAACCCAAGTCTGCCTGACACCAGAGCTTGTATATTTCCACGGCACTACCTACCCTGTAGTGTGAAGGGCAAACTCAAGCCGAGCTGCCCATGTCCTGTTGTGGGGAGCCTCTACCATGGCACAGATGGGAGTGGCAGGGCCCAGGCCAGGCTAGGTACCTGGGGCAGGGGCCGTCTTCACAGACTGGTGGAAACAGATCTTTCCCACTGCTAGGGGGTGCTCTTGGGGCTGCTTCTCTGGACATGACCAGTTGTGGACTCGGCGGGGCGTGTCTCACCACATCAGGGCCCTGTCTTGCCCCCAGCCAGCACTGCCCAGCCTATGTTTGTGTGGGGTGGGTGGAGGCCCAGAGTGAGCTTTGGTGTCCCTCCGAGGGGGAAGGTGTCCTCTGGAAGCAGACTCAGTGTGTCGGGGTGGTGAATGCCAGCCTCAGAGGGCCCGGGAAGGAGGGGAACACATCTCTGGAACATTGGCAGCATCTGAACCCGTTAACTAGTTTAAGCTGCTGCACAGTGACTGTGCTAGGAGGCATTATTAGCCCATTTTAGAGACGATGACACTGAGGCCCACAGAGTTTATGTGACCTGTCAGCCTCACACAGCTGGGAAGAGGCAGGCCTGGGATGCAGAGCCCCTGTGTTCTCCACTGTCGCAAGGTGACCCTGCCCCTCTGCATATTACTTGGAACATTTGGACAACACAATGTCCTCGCTTACTTAGGAGCTTCTGAGCCCAACACATGGGTGCTGGGTCAAACTGGTGCCTTTGCTTCCAACCAGGACAGATGTGGGCTGTGTCATAAGTCCTTGTTGCCAAGCGACAATTCTGACCACAACTCCTGAGCCCCAGCATGGGGTAGGGCTGCCGGGACCTGTCTTGACCTCTTCACAGTCCAGGATTTGCGGGTCCTGGTGCCCTGGAAAGCTCCTGGGCGTGGGCTAGGTTTGTACCACACCAGGGGGACATTAGAAGTCAGGGTTGGAAGCCAGGGAGAATTCCTGGAAGAGGGGTGTTCCAGCTGGGCCTTGAAGGAGGGGAGAAAGGTTGGGAGCCCTGAGACGCCAGGGCCTGGGTCTGATTCACCTGAACCTCAGTGCCCAGCATAGCACCTGGCACAGAGTGGCCGTCAGTGACTCGAGTCAGCTCATCAAAAGGGGGACAACAAGCCCAGCTTCCTGTGAGAACCTGCTGAGAGCAGGGGCAGCCTCAGATTGGCAGGCAAGGCTGGAGTCTCTGCAGCCCAAAGATCCACTTTGCAGGTTATCGTTTCTGAAGGCAGAGCCACTCGATGGTCAACTTCCCCATGCACACTGGGCTTTGGCTCTCTGGGTCTCCATCACGCAGCCAGCAGCCAAGCATGCCCAGCCCAGCCTGGTTTAGTAAAACGTGTGGTCCACTTCTCTGCCCTGACCAAAGATCTTGATTTTCAAAATGTCTTCAAAGCAGGAGTCTAGAATTTTCAAAGCTAGAAGAGCCATAATGGTCCTCCAACCCACCTTCTTTGCTTATAGTCGGGGACTGGGGCCCAC